TATAGTTGTTTTAACTTTAGGGCTTGAGGCTGATACAATTTTGTCCCCAAAGCATAGCTTCTTCTTCGACTTTCGATCTGCTAGCTCACCCGAATCATTAACACCTCTAAATTCCTACGTTTGGACTGATTTCTTCCTAAGTTCGGATGTAAATGTTTGCCCTACTACACTGTACGTAATTTTGGATCCGCTTATTTCTCGTTTTGTCACCCGTAAGAAGATGACTAATGTCGGTGCTGAGGCTTCCCTTAGCCGCCTGTTGTCGGACTTTCTCATCGATTTCATCTTCAGAATGACGTTTCGCTTTAGTCCTCGATTTGAAATATTTTTGGGCGGGCTATGAGAGTATCCTAAGAAATAAAGCTTGGCGGAGAGGTCCAATTCAGGAAAAAACCGTTCGTTAAATGTCTCCAAACTTTTCTCCCAAAAAGTACGAACTCACATAAAAGCGCAGCATTCCGCCCTCCGAGACGCTTACGGGAATCCTATAGCTGGTGCTCAGTTGACCGCGATAGGTTTAATGCTTTTCTGTCCAAACATTTTATCAAAAACTCAACCATTCTTCTTCCGGCCCTCCAGGCATTGACCGGGCAGTTCTTGAAACTATAACATTTAGTCTGCGGGATGTGACTGTAGCGATTCTGTGTTTTCGTCAGTCTTATAGCCCGGGACCCGATGGTGTCCCGGTTAGCATTCTAAAAGTTGATGCAAATGCAATCATCTCATCCCTCTTATGCAGGATATTTAATCTCGCTCTTGAAATTATAACCACATTAGCCTATTTGCATGCATGGCCAATCTACGTCATTTGGTGACTTATGGCAAATAAACACCCTCCTCGCAGTTTCGAAAATCTTGGCTACATTGACGAAGGATATAATGATGTGCTAGTTAACAGAGAATAACCTACTGAATGCTTCAGAGCCTGGATTTCTCAAAGACCGTTCTTGTGACACCTGCCAGCTTTCTTGCCTTGACCATGTTCTCCAATCTAGGGACAACGATTTTGCACTGTTTCGATTTCACTAAGGCTTTTGATCGGGTTGATCATGCTCTTCTTCTTTTGAAACTTTCCTCTTTTGGAATAGGTGGCAAGCTTCTGAATTTGATATCCCCTTACCTGGACGGTCGTAAACAACGAGTTAAGATCTTCAATGCTATCTCCAACCCCACATATACGAGGAATAGAGTCATTCAGGGTAGTGTAATCAGCCCGCTTTTATTTTGTCATTTTGTCAACGACGCACCGATTTTTATTAGCTGTCAAAAATTACACATAAATCCTTATTCACTCTCCCCAAATTACCATGACCGATGTTAAGTTTGCTGTCGACAAAGTAGATCTTTTGACCACCGTGCGTTTACAGAAGTTTATGGTGAAACATGAACGCATTTTCACGATTGTCGACTCACTAGCCGACTCAAATAGATTCACGAACGTCCTAACGAACCTAGCACAAATCGAATCGATTATACATTTGGTTTTATCAGAAGTCTCGGATAGATTAAAACGCTGACTCGATTGGATTATTCACAGTATACCCCACACGGTTAACCCAACACCACCAATTCAAGACATTATACATTCGCGTGGCCTAATTATCCTAGTAGTTACCACCAAAAGACTTCACTCTAGAAGCAAAAGTCAACCCGTCTTAGTAGCCTTCTGCTCGCAGACTGAATCTGGGCTTGTCCCACAAAACCTCGAATTAAACAGAAATCTTCGGAACCGAAACTCATTTATAGGTCCAGATTTGACACCGGTGCAAAGACGTAAACTTCGGGATGTAGGCACCAGCTACAAACACGGTAATCACCACTCCGGTCCCTCTACTGAACCCCTAGCTACTTCTTTAATTTCTGACACTAATAAAAAAAATCCACGGACCAGCGTGAACAAAATGATTAACTCACAGCCCCCGTAGATGGACTGCCAGCAAGTACTTCTAACCCTAGTTCTCAAGACAAAGACGCGTAACTGCAACAGAAGTTGGGGATGCCAGGCAGAAAGCAACAAGGGATGCACAACAAAAAACAACGTTAAACTAGAACAGAACGATTACGCCGATCCCGGATCCAGTCATGTGACGCAATTAGGTAGCGATATACGTTTTGGTACGCCCCAAAGACCGATCAACCAGTACTAGAAATTGACTGCCAAACAAGACACAAACCAAAGGGCCTTATTAAGCACACACGCACAACCAAAACGCCCCAAGAATGTAGATATAACAAATAGGAATTCTCCAAGCTCAAACCAGAAACAAATAAGCTTCTATTACTGCATCTCGACTCCCCCAAATCCACCTGCATGACATGGGAATAAGCCAAAGCACTCTAGCCTTCCAAACTTCTTACCAGCTAATGACAACCCACAAATTACTTCGGCTTTTACACCTCCCCTACTGAAACTCCATTTTGGTACAATTACCACCTAGTCAACCCACCTCCCCATATGTGCACTCGATCCATACATACTAACCCATGCACTCACACTTCGCCATACGCATCACCATATCCTCCAAGAACTACACACTTACCTTCATTTAGTTCATCAATCAATCGAGGTACCTTCAGAAATCCTTTTTTCACCACAGCTTACCTTTTCCATATCTGACGTCCTGAAGATAGCTCTTATAAATTCAAGATCGACAACAAAATATCCCAGCTTAGAACTTTTGTTGAAATATATAACCTCGATATAATTTGCATCACAGAAACATGGACAAATGAACTTATGTCGAATGCTTCGTTGTATATCCCAAATTATAATTTCTATCGACAGGACCGTGTTAGTAAAGGAGGCGGAGGTTGTCTTATCTGCATCGAAACAAACATTGAGCGAAGTGGTATTCATGTCCCAACCGAAACCCTTGCATAAGATGCCTGTTTTGCCACAATAAAATCTCATACCCAGGATAACATACTAATCGGATGCCCCTTCTCCCCTCCAGAATGTATCAATGATGACACAATCCTCAACCACTCAGTAAACAGTATAGCTAACATTTTAACTGAATATAAGTTGATCGCAGTACAAAATTGCACAAAATGCAATTCATCGTTCCTGAATTTGTAGTCCGTTAAAAAAAAGATGAGCGAGAGGTGAAAAAATAACCACGAAAAATTTAAAAATGATTGGATTAATTTTACAGGAGAAAAAAACCCTCGATATTAATAACACAAAAATGCGGGCAGGACTGGCCTGCATGTGGCGGTATACAACGGATTATAATCGGACATCGTCAGGGCAGAAGTAAATATCAGCCTTGGCGGGTGCGTATGCGGGTCGGGCAGGACTGGTATGCATGTGGTATAGTAAACGGGATTCAGAACTGACATTGTCAGGGCAGGATTGATACGCCGGATGAGACTCTTCGCGTAAAAGTGACGAGACGAGAGGAACCCAGACGCGGTCGGTCACAGTCCGCTTCCTGCCCAGCCGAGGAGTGGGGAAGGGAGGTACGACCAAACCACTAGTAGGCGGCGAATACTGGGGATTCCGCCGTGAGCGTCGACAGACCGCTTGAGGGCGAAATGAGGGAGACAACATCAAGAACCGCGAAAATCGTCGCTATGGGGGAGGAGTGATAGCAGTGGATTCAGTAGCCAATTCAAAACGGGGTTTCTAAAGATATAATTGAGGGTTTCCACTTGATATACCACTAAATCCCAGGAGGACCCTTCTCAAAGTCCAAAATCTGAGTGTTCGGGAATGAGACCGTTAAAAGTGCCTTTATACTCTCCGGTGTAAGGTGTTTGCGTAATTTCGACTTGAATACCAGTAATTACGTCGATGACATAATTTCTGGTGGAAGATTATTCCAAATGAAGGCTTATTTGGAAGCAAAAAAGAGGGACTGCTTACATATAGTGCAAAGAGGCGGCGGCGGAATTAACATGGTGGAGTTGCGCGTGGCATAAGACTGATTTCTCAGAGTGAGAGCGTCAATGAGAGGAAGATTGGAGCGAGAGTTAATGTGAAAAAGGAAGCAAAGGCCAGCTTCGAGTCTTCTAACCCACAAAAATTAATGTTCGCCATCTGAAATCTCTGAGTATAAGAAGTACCGGGTGCGACTTCAGAGAACATTTTCCGGTTGAAAACCCTCCGAACATTTTCGATCTTATAACGGTCACAGGCGATCATTAAACCACATGCCACATGCCCGCACTGCGATCGATGTTGTGCGGCGCGTTAATCGACCGATCGATCGATTTTACCTCGCCAGGTGTGCAGGCCTCCACGCCGCAGGAATTTGCGTCAGGCACGCTCAGGCGGCATATGCAGCCGTGCAGCTTTCACACGCAGATAGTGCCGTCTCGCTAATCATCTATTGGGCTGCAACCCACTGACTGACCGGGGTAACATTTGAACGTCCGTTTCTTCAAATACTTTTAATAGTAATCCTCTGAAATTGTGATGCCCATCGAAATCAGACTGACGCAAAAGCACGGCTGGACGGACTGCTTGGCCAGAGTTGAAGCACCAGTTGGAACCCTTTCAAGCCAAAGGTTTTCTAGCGCACCGTAATAGTCTGACACGCGGGTGACCTTTTATTAAGAGGAATTAGGCGTTGAGAGCTGACATCACTCACTAGTCATTATCCAGTGCATCAGTCGACTGTCCGAGCCGGTCACTTAATTGATGCAGAGACTGATAGGGGTGGCTCCCACAGAAGAGTGGGAGCGGGGACTATGACTTGCGCAGGATTATTGCAAGAGTAGACTTCCGCTGCATCTACCACATTCTCTCCTCCTCACCACCTGAGCCCGGTGTCAAGACAGAGTCAAGAAGACTGGAGACGGGAGGGACGCATGTGGATAGTCTCAGTATTGAGACACCCGTTCAAAGGGAGCCACACGGGGACCGAGTCGAGGCGCACAATTTCCACTAGCGTGGGAGGTGGCAGGTGGGCAATATTCAGCTTACCTGGGGGTCGATTACCTTGTGGTCACCTGCGAGGCTGTAGGCGAATACGCATCTTCGAGATGACGAGGCGATGGTCGGTCCACCCGTCAGCACCCCCGATCGCCTTCGTCACCAGCACGTCCCGCTGATCTCGCCTCCGGTCGAGGACATCGCCCAGCAGGTGCCACTGACGCGACCAAGGATGCACCCATGTGGCCCTCTCTCGCTCCGGCAGACCGAAGAACGTGTTCGTCAGGATGAGGCGGTGTTCTGCGCAGGTTCGGAGAAGCAGCAGGCCGTTGCCGTTGCAGCCGCGGAGACCACGGGGACCCAGCACTCCTCTCCAGGCAAAATGGTCTATGCCGACGCGGGCGTTGAAGTCACCAAGGACAATCAACTTGTCCGCCTGCGACACGGTCAACAGGAGGGCGTCCAAGTCCTCGTAGAAATTTTCTCTTGCGGCGTCGTGGCTGGTCATCGGCGGAGCGTCGGCGGAGCGTAAGCGCTGATGATGGTGGCGAATTCGCCCCCACCCCGGAGAGGCAGGCGGAGTGTCATTAGACGGTCGTTGATGCCCTGTGGCAAACAGGGCAGTCGTCCCACGATGTCGTTCCGGATGGCGAAGGCGACAGCCGCGTCTCATCGACTGCACTGGGCCGACCACTCCATAAGAAGGGGTAGCCGGCACCCACATCCTCCAGTTGGCCTTGTTCGGAGAATCGAGTCTCGATCAATGCGTCGATGTCCACCTTGTAGCGCGCCAGTTCTCGGGCCACTGGGGCCGTCGTTCTTTCCAATCGGTTGCTCATCGGATTGTCTAAAAGGGAACGAACATTGCTGGCTGCCAGAGTGAGCGGACTTACCGTACCCGTCTGGTGGTCGCGAAAAGGATTAGGGGAAGAAAAAGAATAGGCAGGAAGGTGGAGAAAGAGATGGGGGATAATTCGGTTTTGGCTTCTTCGAACATGTTTTGCTTGTATGCGGCCGCGGTCAGCCTACAGACAGCGTGGCTCCCAACACTTTTTATGTTACCTTTTCTAGCCCCTTTTCCCCTCGCGGGACGGGCAGCGCACCTCCTAAATATGGCTGCCCGGTTATCCCAGACGGCCGCAGAACACCTCTATAGGCCACGGAATTGTGTTTATGAGACAAAAACACGAATTAGCCTGGGACATTTGGGGGGGGGACTAAATAGCAGAGGCAATACATAAAACAAAACACACACAACACACGAACTGTCCCACGATCTGCAATAATAGCAATTTACAATCTTTCTCTTATTTAGTCAGTATGTCTGTTTCAGGAGGATGTAATACGTCATCCCTTCTCCTCCCATATATTCACTGCCTCCGAACGCTCCAACTACATTTTCTCTAGGTAAATTATCCTCAGCATTAAGTCGGGATCGTCTATATGCCCATTACCTAAAGTTCATAATAGGCATCTATTCCCTGTCGAAATCTCAGCTATAGCTTGACGTTTATTCTTAACCTGGATTCTACATTTGCGTTAAAGTTGACCCTAAACTTGAATTTAAACTTCGTTTCCGTGGTATTCATTACGTAGCTACCTGTTCCATTGTCCTACCGAAAATGACTGGCATTGGCCATGGACGTGATTCCTCACCTACATTTATCATCCTTTTGTGAACAGGTAACCTGCAAGTTTTAAGGAGTGGTGTGACGCTAAGGCACGACGGACGTGTGAGCCACGTAGCGCGATCGGTGAGCGCCCTGTATAATTTTGGGTATACCTCATCCTAACCGACAAGACGAGCCATCGGCCTGTTGGGTAAGACCTTTGACGTCTAACCATCAGGTCGCGGGATAGAGTCCCGGAGTTTTCACACCTCGGGATTGTGGATGGCTGGCTGACGACGGCAAATGAACTAGAATTGGACACGTCGTTCTTCCCTGAATTTGTCGATAATGCTTTTCTTTGGGTCAGAACGGTTTGCCTGAAAAAAGACTGGCGAAGATAATGTCGTGCGCGGATTTTGATCTTCACTAGCGTTATTGACCTAGAAGTAGTCCGGATCGAGCTCAAGGTTCAGGTTAGAGATGCGGTATGATTTACGGCTAGTTTTAGGAGTTGGGCTATCAATGGAGCTGAGATTTTAAGGCTAGGGTTATATCCAAGACTTGCGGTCGAGTCCAGATTGGGGTTAAGGATAAGAGTTAGATATTTAGGCTTGGGTTTTAGGGCTGAGATCAAGGATTTAAGGTCAAGGGTTAAGGTTAAGTTTTCGATCGAATTTTCATTAAATGCTTACGGATTAAGTCTAAGGGTGACCACTTAAGTCCATGGGCGTGGTTGACGTTACGGCCATAGTTAACTGCGCATTTCCCATAGAGTAACATACCATACTCTTTTAAAACTGTTACTTTTAATGAGAAATTTTGTAGGTATAGCGCGAGGTTTATATAGGCAGAATGGCACTCCGACAAAGACAAGGGAGACCTGAATGGCCATTTCTGGGTTATTAGCCCTAACTTGCAATCACGACCCTCCTCTTATTATAGAAGAATGTCTGGTAGAGAAAGGTCCCTGCCAGCACATGGCCCCTTGATAGCCGGGGGTGGAAGGGGCTGGGTGGGGCCAGAGCCCCCTCTGAATTGAAGCATTTTGATGCGTATTTGCATCGAAAGATATGTTTCAAAAGCACCACTCATTGTACCTCCTTTGGCATTAAAAGGAGCAAATGTACCAAAATTGGCTTATAAATCATGGAGAAAGCATCCGTTTACACCCACTGAATGTAGCTGCGGATGAGCACAATATTGTGAGGTTTTGTTTAAATCCCTCATTGCGTAAACTCTTATTTGTCCACCGGTTTACAATCTGTGTGTGTCATTAATTCGTATATTTGACAATCGGTAGCAGATAATATCGTGAGTCAACCAATGCTGTTTTCATACTCTTGATAGCTGTTTTAGTTAATTTATGTATATTATGTTAATTGTTTGGGTATCTACTCACCAGCCAGTTCACGTAGTGGACTTGTATGTCTATGTATGTACTATTTGGCCTTGGTGTTCGTAGTCCACTTATACAAATTGTTTGTCGTTTCTTACTGAATATCCAAAGCAATTATAAAGCGTAATCACGCTGGCTATCACTGAAGCACCATATACAGGCGCATTAAGCGCCAGATGAAGGCATATTATGAGGCCACTGAAGAGCCGGCTCGTCGACGTTGATGGAACCTCAGGCTCAGGCCTGAGCCTGAGGTTCCATCAACGTCGACGGCAGTTGGCAATCAATCCCTCGAACGGGAAATGCCTATACTGAACTCTGAGACTTCCGCTGGTAGGTATTATGAGTGTGTAAGCGAATAATGGGTGTAGAGTCCGTGGAAGACATGGACGACACAAACGTAGTTGGAGGCAAGTCCTTTCTGAGGCCTTGAAAGAATACGCCCTGGAAGTGCAAATGCCTTGGTCTAATACAAGGAAGGTATTTAATATGTTACGGCATTTCCATCCGGAAGTACCTAAGGACCCACGGAAGCTATAGCTAACGCCTCGAGCGTGCAATAAGAAGCGTCCCGATTAACGGCACCTACGTTCACTTGGGTCTCAGACGGTCTGCTTTATGAGCTTCGTCTTCGTTCGAGAACAAGTATTTCAAATAACAGTAAGTCTAATGGTTTGTAGGCCAAAACTTGAAGAAAACATACCTACTTCCTCGGCCGGATGGGGCAGGTTTTCACCTTAAGTAGTCCCCTCACTTCAGTAAGCAGATTATATTTATTATCCATTTCAGACTGCAAACGGAAAAGGATGCTTCTGTGGCGCAGAGTGAAATATTAAAATCAATACAAAGGAAATTGAAATCTGCGCGGTAAGGACATGTTGTATGACGTTGGATTAGATTTGTTTAGTAAAAAATTAGACAAATTAGTCCATAATCGGACGGTCCATCATGAGGAATTTCGACAGCATTGCGCCCTCATGGTTGAAAAACGTGGGCAAATACATGCCTCCACCGTCCTTGTCGGTCAAAGGCCTCCCGCACTGCCCTTGCCGCTATGCACGGAGGACGCCTACGAAGACTTCGATGGGAAGCCAAACCGTGATGCCGATTTTCGGGCAGAAGTGGTATGTACGTATGCAGCTTTATTTACTCTCCATGAGTTATAGATGAAACAACTTGTTTCAGTTGGGGGGCGTAACAACAAGGAGTTTGTGAGGAATATCCGCAGTAAATTGCTAGGACCACTCCTTTGCCATGACTACTGTTGGAGTGGCTCAGTGGGAAAACAATCCTTTGTCGGTAGTCCATTATATGCACTCCTGTGTGGTAAGTTTTCCTCATTTGTTAACACATCAGATGCCATTCACTTGAACTCTGTCTTTGGTGATTGCGGCCACGAAATGGTTCGCAAGACTGTCATTGATTGGTTTCATGGATCGAGGGACCGGTATGGCGGCCGGGCTAAACGCCGGGAGGCAATTGGAGGGACTGGCAATGATACACGTTGCCCCACACTGCCTCCATCTGAAGACACGGTAATTACCATCAATGAAATTTACATATTTAAGGCTAAATATTCATGCTGCTGCAGTGAACTTAATTAGTGTGAAAATTGTCATTTAAATTTTAAATTATTACCTCCCTTTCTTCGACCATGTGTTTTCCAAACAATTGTTTTTCTTCAGTTATAGGAACCAGCCGTCTATGCGGGGACTTCTGGAACGCCCGACTGAATGGCATAACATATGCTGAAATCCATGTATATACTGGCACTGACATTTATTATGATTGTGCATATTTTCCAATTCTTTTTTCGTTTATACGATAAATAACTCATTCACATGTATTTGCGTCGCGTGTATTTGATATTGGCTGCTGATTAGTGGGTACATGTACGACGGGGTCACTGTGAGTACTATGTAATACCGTAGCACTCTACGTACGCAGGGTGGGTTTCGACGTGTAACATGTGGGAACAGTGAGGCACTGCGCCTCAGGGGACTCGCCATACGGGACGATATTTTAAAGTGGTGCCAAAAGTGGGCGGAGATGTGGCGTCCCCTGCGCATTTTTTTTCGCTGGCGGGGCTGTCGCGTTGCATGCCCCGCTAGCCCCTTCATGGCCCCCTCTAGCCCCGCCATTATTGAGGGGGCCAGACGGGACTGGTGCTGGCAGGGGTGTCATGCTTCAACTTTCTCCTCACATATGTTCACTGCCTCCAAACGCTCTGACCTCTTTTTTTCTAAATATATGTTTCTCAGTACTAGGTCGGATTCCCCTAGATGCTTATGACCGAAAGTTCAGGAAAAGCAAATATTCGCATGTTCTAGTTTGAGCCAAAACACACAGCCTAGCATTAACCTAAATCAGGTGAATAATTTCAGAAATTAATCAGTGCAGGACTTGGAGTTAAATCTCCGGGACATGACTTTTTAGGGTCAGAACCGAAATTTCAATGAACATTTGAGTCGAAGACAATCAACTACTGTGAAATAACCACGTAATCAGAAGAAGAAGCGATCGCTGGAACAAGGGCTTTATTCGCCTGACGTTTCGGACTCTCACTTGAATCCATCATCAGAGACAGTGGCAGAAAAAGGTGACTTGTGCACAGGAAATCGCAGTATTTATAGAATGCAGTCGCCATGCTACCGCATACCTTTAGCAATTAGCCGCGCTCCCCTTCGTCAAGGATGGGTGCCCGCTGGTGCGATAATTGCTTGATGGCCAGCATGATTGTTAATCCCCGAAATGTCATCACCCGTGCTAGATGCTGGCGTGATGATTGCTCGGTCATCTGACTCACCGGCTTGCGCGCTCCCCGAGTGATCACTTATCTTGGCCAGCCTATGCCTCAGCACGGAATATGGAGTGGGAATGTCGTTGCACTTGTTGATAGACTGAGGTCCCGCGAACCATGACTCAAGCAACTCGCGGCTCACGCGATTATCCCCTCTCGCGAGAATTTCGGCCTCATCGAACTTGAATGTGTGGCCGGGTCTCGTCGAATGGGCTGCGATTTGAGAGTTGGCGTCATTTCTCCGTACCGCTGCCGCGTGTTCGGAAATTCGCGTTCGGAGCAGTCTTCCAGTTTCTCCGACGTAGTTGCTTTGTCCGCAACTGCACCAGATCCGGTAAACGACTCCAGATGTTTCTTGCCGTGGCAGTGGGTCTTTTGGTTTCATCACCTGACGCCTCATGGTGGCCTCCGGTCTGTGTGCCACTCCAACCCCAAGTGGTGCAAGAAGGCGGCTAACGGCTTCGGAGACGTTCTTGATGTACGGGATCACTCGCCAGAATTTGGGGTCGGCACGGTTCTGTCTCTCGTCTCGTTTGCGCATACACCGGTTGACGAAGTTGCGCGGGTAACCATTTTCTCTGAAAACCCGTCGAAGATATTGGGATTCGGCAACCTTGTCATCCGGTTCACTGCAGTGCGTCTCAACACGCCGAAATAGCGTTCTCACGCAACTGTGTTTGTCGCTGATTGGGTGGTTACTGTTGAAGTTCAGTATTTGCGTCGTGTTCGTCGCTTTCCTGAACACTTTGGTCTTTAGGCCACCGCAGTCTTTGCGGCAGACGAGGACATCAAGGAATGCCAGCTGGTTATTTTCTTCCTCCTCCATCGTAAATTGTATGTCCGGGAAGACGCTGTTGAAACGTTCTTTGAACGTTAGCACCTGATCCCGTTCGACAACGACGAGGGTATCGTCCACATACCGAGCCCAGAATTTCGGTCTGTGGTGTTGGAAGGCCAGCGACTCCAACCGCTGTAGGACCGCCTCGGCGATGAATCCCGAAATCGACGAGCCGATTGGTGTTCCCTTCACTTGCTCGTAGATTGTTCCGTCAAACGTGAAGTACGTCCTGAGACAGAACTTTAGGAGCCGAAGGACTTGGGCATGTCCGAGACGATTCTCCGTTTCATTGTATTTGCTTCGTAGGAGTAGCTCGACGGTCTCGATTGCCAGATCCTGGGGGATAGAAGTAAAGAGGGACGTGACATCAAAAGATACCATGACCTCATTTGGCAAGAGACTTACTCCTTTAAGCTTCTCCAGGAATTGTGTTGACGAACAGACGGTGGTGTCCGAATCAGCGGTCAGAAATTTGAGGCGCCGAAACAGCCATTTTGCCAGTCCGTACGTTGGAGTGCCTTTGAGCGATACAATGGGCCGGAGAGGAACGCCCTCCTTGTGCACCTTTGGGAGACCATAGAATCGGGCCAAGGCCGTTTCTTGGGCTCTCGCATGCGTCGATCGGTCGGTGTTATTGCACCCGAGTTCTCTAGTGCCAACAGTGTCGCATTAATTTCGCGTGTCAGCGTCTTTACGGGGTTGGTTTCACATGGGACATAGAACTGGCGATCCTCCAGTAGGTTTTTGGCCTTCTGAAGGTAGTCTGTTCTGTCCAGTACGACGGTGGAACGCCCCTTGTCCGCGGGCACGACGACGATGTCCTTGTCGGCCTTGAGTTCTCTTAGTGCATCGCGTTCGACCTTTGGGAGTATTTCGCGCGGCTTGTGAGTCATAAGGAGGGACACCACTTGGTGTCAGATAAGGTTCTTCGAAGAACCCCGTTTCACCGTTTTGTAATTTCCTGAGAACAGAGTACTCAAATTCTACCGCCCACTGTCTTTTCCAGAACAAATTCGTGAACCGCGTGAATTAAACGGCCGGTGTTTGCCTTAGAATATGTCAAATGGCAGCTGGGCATTCGCTTGTTGTGGTTGGAGTTTCGCTCGATCCCATTCTGTCCGCGCGTCAGCCGACTACTAGCGACTCAAATTCAATTGCTCACCGTTTTTTTCCAGAACAAAGCGCAGGATAAAAACTATCGGGATATTGGTCGCTTTGTGCACCATGAGCAAGGGTGAGGTCCAGGGGCCCTTGGACTATTAAATGATTCCCAATTGCAGCATTTGCTCAATCTCAAACATCGCGGCCTGTAAACGGACCAGTGTCAGTCGGATCTTCCGGACAAAGGGAGCAGCAACCGCCTTTTATGCATCCATTTCAAAGAAAATAATGATTACAACCAAACGCAAACTGCAGGCGGGATGGCAAATTGTGGTGTCGATAGGGGTGAGGGGTTCAGAAGGACAGGAGTGACCACACTAGTAATTATGCTGCTACTAACAACAGGCGTCAAACAGGATAACAAGGTAAAACTATCGGGCTATTGGTCGCTTTGTGCACCATGAGCAAGGGTGAGGTCCAGGGGCCCATGGACGATTAAATGATTCCCAATTGCAGCATTTGCTCAATCTCAGACTATGCGGCCTGTAAACGGACCAGTGTCAGTCGTCCAATCCGAGCAAGCGCAGGAGGGCCTGATGGGCGGATGTGGGGCATTACGTAATTTTGAACTTCGCCTTTACGGTACTGAGGTTCATCATGTTAGGATGTTCATCGTGCAGTCCCCGAAAGGGACAAACCCCAGTATGTATTTAGAACCTATAGGTTGCAGTAGGTAATGAAATGAGTTATGCCATGAATAGAGAAACCAGTTGTAGGGTCAAGGAGATGGGAACGTCGACGGTCAAAAAGGAGATCGAACTCGACTATAAAGTCCGCTCCTGGGATTGCATGATAGACATCGGCAATCACAACGATCTAGGAGGGAGGCAGATGAAGACCAAATGTTAGGTTGAGGGACAGACTAAAAAAGTAGAAATGCGACAACAGTTTGCAAAATGAAGGAGAAGACCAAGACTGTGAAAGTAACGGTCGTCTACTGCACAGTATCACCCGAGGTCAGCGCTCCAACGCATTATTGTCTACCAACGCGTAAAGCCTTCCAATCAATCAACTGGGTAATGTTGCTGATGCCTATACTCACGAGGGCTCTGCTGTCCCACGAAATACACCTGCCAGCCAGCATGCCAGTGAAACATTTACAACTTTGCAGGGCTTTTAGCGATATTTTCCGTACTTTCAGGCGGATTGCCACAACGGCAAGCAAACAAATCTGATGCGATTACGACCAGGTTATCGTAGGGACTAGCTTCTGAAATAACCAAACCGCCAACCTTTCTCTTTCAAGCGTCATTTGATACTGGGTTACTGTCCTCCGATTTAAATTCGCAACCATCGCCCTGCAGTTTAAGAGTGGCAGTCGAGAGACTTTGGACAACTACATGCCATTGAGCCCTACATCCATTTGTTGCAGAATCATGGGATAAGTCATAAAGAAAAC